AGTAAGAGTGCTTGCCTAGCATTCAAGAGACCCTAGGTCCAATCCTCACTATTTAGGAGACACACAGACACAAGATACTTCAATTGGACAAGATCAGAAAATATAAAAAAAAGAATTTTCTGGGAAGTACAGCATACATTTGAGAGGCAGTGGCAGGACCATCATCAGTTCAAGAACAACCTCAGCTACACTATCTCCCCCTTATACCCCCACACCCCAAAGGTCCACTAATGCAGCTACTTCACTGACAATCCTCTAACAGAGGATACCATCCATAACTTACAGATAAGAAGCACTGCTAGGTCAGTGCTCACCAAACAAGGCAACCAAGGAGCAGTGATTTAAAAGCTGCCAATTCCAAACTGGGCGACGGCTGTGCACACCTTTAATCCCAGCACTCGGGAGGCAGATCTCTGAATCTGAGGTCAGTTTGGTCTATACAGTAAGTTCCAGAGCAGCCAGAGCTACACAGAGAAACTGTATCAAAGGGGGAGGGGGGCTGCTACCTTCCATTCCAGAGCCCATACTTTTCCTATTATACACAGAAAATTGCATTAAGATTAAGATATGTGATTGCTAATGATCAAAATAATGACCAGCATGAGCTAAATTTTCATTAGAAGAGGTTAATTCAGAAAATAACTAAAGATTATAACTGAAATAAGGTTTATAGCTACTACAAGATCAGTTTTCCACTGTCTATATTTTTATTTTATGTGATTATTTTGCCCTCATTTGAAATAGTAGAGGTTTAACTACACAGGATAGCTTTTGATTGAGATCCTCCTGCCTCTGCCTCCTGAATACCAAGAGTAAGTGTATTCACTTCCCCACTCAATGTACATGGGTTTTTTCTTCTTTCTTTCTTTCTTTCTTTTTCTTTCTTTCTTTCCTTCCTTCCTTCTTCTTCTTCCTCTTCCTCTTCTTTTTTGAAGAACAGAGTTTCTTCATGCGGTCCTGGCTGTCCTGGAACTTGCTCTGTAGACACACTGCCTCCGAGGGCTGGAACTAAAGGTGTGTGCCACCACATGATTCTTTTTCTTTTTCTTTTTCTTTTATTTTTTAGACTGGCTCTTGCTGCTCCCCAAGCTGGCTTCACTCTCAAACCTGTTCCAACCTCCCAAATGGCTCAGATTACAGGCACATTATCCCTGCACTTGCCTCTGGTTCTTGTTTTTATTTTGTTTTATTCTTTTTGAGACAGGGTGTTACAAAAGTCAGGCAGGTCTCAAACTCACAATATAGAGGTTGACTCTGACCTCTGCTCCTTCTACCTACCAGCCTAGCTGACTCTTATTTTAAAAAGATCAGAGTACTGACAGTAGGTCTTCAAACCGTCCCTGCATTATGCTGCAACTCGTCTACTCAAAGACTAGAAGAGAGGGTACTACAGCACTAAAGACAAAGATTAACCTGCATACACGGCAAGCATCTGTCCCTTAGTTGAAGGCTTGTAAATGATAAATTTTGTTCCTAGTCCCAGACGGGACACTTTATGAAACCATTTGATTTCTTTGGTTTGTTCCTACTTCCTACCAAGTTCTGAACTGCTCCAAAAGTTTTATTTAACTTATTTAACCACTGCTTGACTTCTCACTTACACTTCGCTCCGACCAGCATTCAGGTCATTAACAACTTTTGGACCACTTCTTCAAAGACACTAGATTTCCACTATTTTATTCATCTTTGATGACATGTGCTACAATCTGAAAACTATTTTAGCGGTTGTCTTTAGTTACTTTACTGTGATAAGACACCATGACCAAGACAACTTATAAAACAAAGTGTTTATTTGAGGTTAACAGTTTCTGAGGGGTAGAGTAAGCCATCATGGTGGAGAGAGCACACAGCTGGCAGGCATGATGCTGGAATTGTGGCTGAGAGCTTACATCTTGATCCACAAGTACAAAACAGAAAAGAGCTGACTGGAACTAACAGTCCCAGAGGGACACCTAATCCTTTCCAAACAGGTCCACCAACTGGGGACCAAGCGTTCAAATACACGAGACTGTGGGGGCCATTCTCATTCAAACCACCAGAGGTGGGAGTTAAAGCAGAAGTAGAAGGGCAAGAATCAAACTATGGCTAGGCCCTAATTATTAGAACTGAAAGACACTTTAAAAATTTAGAACACCCATCTCTCTCTGCATGGATTACACTGACAAGTGACCTGGCAAAACCTTTGACTTTAAAACTGCCATTGGGAGTCTGGTTTGAACCATTTTGATCTGCTTCTCTTCACAGTATTTATTTGGACTTTAATCTTTTTACATGGAATGATGTCACAGTTTAGGAACCTTGAGAACAATGACTACCAAAGGCTGTTCATCTACATTCTGGATAAACAGTCAAAATCATCCACCCCCAATCTATTCGGAAAGGGAGTCAATGCTATTTTGGATCAAAACCCAAGCTGATTCTTAAACCAAATGAATCTCATGATTTCCCTCTGTATCAATTTCTCCTTCCTAGTCCCCCCCACACACACCGTGTTCATGTTTAGTTTACTGTGTTCATGTTCAGAAACTAGGTTTCCCTCTTCCACCTTTGCACTGACTCCTTGCTAAATTACTAATTACAAATAAAAACGTTTAGACCTATGACTATAATTATAAATCTGTCATTCATCAGATTCTTGTGGACTAGTTTATCACTTTCTGTGTGTTCAGATTATAATATTTATTATACTATCAAACACCATTACAAACATCTACAGTGGCTGAAGACACAGTTCATGGGGGTAGAGCACTTGCCTAACATTTGCAAGGTCATGAGTTCAATTCCCAATTGAAAGAAAACCCAAAACTTCCATCTAGGTTCTCCCTTTGACCTGCCCTTACCAACAGATGAACCTCTAGTCACACAGAAAGCCTCCTGTACGTCCCATGCCCCACTGGCCTGGAAGAATGACCACCCGCTTCCAACACTGTCCATTCACCCTCAAATCTACTGTCTCTCTTCCTTCTAACTACACTACATCTTGTTCATAAGCACTTTATAGAAATTGACTTATATGATCTATATTTCCCAAATTATAAATTACTGCAGGGCAAATAAATAAAATCAATGGTTCTCAGCTTTGTTCTTCCCTGCATTATTACTTAACCTTTCACTATACAGCAAGCTCTCCAGTATATTTGCCAATCTGAAGACATGCTTCCCCAGGACCCTATTTTCAAAGTTGGTCATCAAGGCAAAATTCAGCTAAAGACACTATTGTTAATTTTAATTTGTGCATTGGTGTCTCACATTAGTTTAACCTTCCTTTGTCTCATGCAAGAAAAAGTGCTATCCTAATTTCAAGAATTCTCTCTTCCTAAAAGGATATGCACGAGAGGGCTATGGTAAGTGTCTGGCCACTCTCTCAAATCACACCAGCGAAAACAGGAAAACTCCCACATTCAAGCTACCTTAAAAACTCAAGGTTTCTGGGGCTGGAGAAATGGTTCAGTGGCTAAAAACTAACTCCACTTTCAGAGGATAAGACCCCTGATCCCTTCCCTCAGGCCGCTGGACAACGCATCCTCATGGGTAGTACACATACATACATGCAGGCAGAACACACATACACACACACACGCACGCACACACACACACAAAATCTTAAAATAGAATTGTAAGTGCTGTAAGATAGAATACATTTTCCCCTGGTTCAGAATTAAACTGCTAGAGAACATGAAAAAAACCTGGCAATTCTGAACTGTATGGGTAAATAAACCACAAAGTGGTAGGTAACAACAGCCATCAATACATGCTACTAATGTCTGCCATTATTATCCAAGTTGGCAGCTCTCTTGAATATATATATATATCCAGAAAAAACTCAGCCCGGGAGTTGGCCCTCCCTCTATGCGAACAGGGACTTAAGAGCACCTACATATTAATACAACAAAACCTCGCTTGTCTTCATAAAGCGGCAGGGCTTTCCACACTGTACCATGGACTGCCCCTACCATCTGCACCTATCTATCATGATTTCATTCAGATAATCTCTCGGAAATACAAGTTCTAGGTTCCAGGAGTTTGATGTGATAAAGGAAAGGGTAATTTTTTTTCTTCTCTTAAGAAAAATCGTCAACCTTGCATGCTTGCCTTTCAAAGGCACCTGAACACAGTATTGATGGAGCGAGTAGGGACGCCTCTTCTAAAGGTGGAGAGCACACCCAACAGCTACTGCACTGCTTCATGACTGCATGTGAATGAGCACGACTCACAGAAATAACTGCAGCGTTAAACTAGCTGACACCACACGATACACTACTACTTACATTTGAGAAACTTATTTTATTGATTAAAGGTTTTGTGCAATGACCAAGCTTTGAAAACCGCCGCTCCCTCTAATAAGGGTGAATCACAACAGCTAAGGACCAGATAGTTCAAAACCTGGAAGGCTTTCCTTGCCAATCACATCAGAAATGATTTCATCTCTACACACCCAGGCTAAGTGAGGCAACAAAGAGAGAAAAACGCTACTAAATAATGAAACTGTCCAGGACACTGTATTCTTTAGATTTGTCTGTAACCTTTTCATTTAGTGAACTTCCGCCTACACACACACTCACACCCCTTTAGCAGGGAACGTCTCAACATATTCTCACCTGAAAAGATGAAGCTATATTTAGTTTCTCATTCCTAAATGGGGGTGGGGAGGGATATACTAGCATCTCTATGTTAAAAGTCCCTGTGCCTTCCCTTCCCTCTATGACGTGAAGCCCCCAAAGTGACCTGTCTCCTGGCACAAGGTTAAATAGATTTCTTCCAGTTTTGTGCAAGTCCTATGCGAATGTTCCCAAGCTTCTGTAACCCAGAGCCTGGGAGATTTGCTCACCCTTGGGGAAGTTCGGAGACAAGGGATGAAGGCAGCCCAGGGGCTCATCCCACCAACTCGCCACCCCACCACCGGCCGCTCGCCATCGAGAGCCCCACACAAAAGGGTCTCGGCTCCCACCGCCCTACTCCCCCCCATCCCCCCAGGCGGCCACCGCCGAACCACGACTCACCAGGACCGTGGTGCAGATGGACCTCAGCTCCGACTCCACTTTCTCC